AGTGGTGGGGTTAGAATCAGACATATATATGTGGATCCACTCAATGGTTTTGGTTCCAGACTGGATCCAATCCGAAAATGGTCAAAATGCTGTGAGATGAGATGTTCTGCCATGGGGGCGGGGAGCATGAGAACAGGTTATGAGATTCCAGCAGCACTGAATCTGAACCGTCCTCGAGGCCCGATTTAACCTAGAATCTGAATCTCCAATCCCAGGCTTTGGGTGCAGATTTTTTTATAGCCCCCTTCAGATTGACTAAGTTAAAATAAACTTCTCTGCTAATTTAGTGAAGAGCTTCACTCAGAGGCAATGTGGCTGGCCTGGAATATGAATCCTTTTGCACCGAAGGGTACCTACTCTCTGAGTACTGTAATGGGGATATAATTTCCACTTGGCAATTTCAGCTAACCAAGGAAGGAAAACGCTTGACCTACTCCCTGCCACTTGTTACACGTCAAGGAATCTATAAGTGGGCAAGACTTCTGACTTCTCTTAACTTGGCTTTCTTTTCCCCACCCCTCCACACATACACACACAGTAAGAGTCACAAACTGTTTGTATTTCAGAATCTATTTTTCAATGTCTTGTTTCTATTTAGGAACTGGTGATCTTTCTTTGGTGCCTGGCGGCGGTGTGCAAGTGCTGAGATTGTAGCGAACTCAAAGGTTCCACCAGAGGCAAAAGATAAACTTTCTGTAAATGTTGCAAAAACGGAAGCCTGATCCCACGAGAAAAATTGTTGTTCCTTTGAATCATTTTAGATATTTACGAAAAAGCAACAGAACATTAGACTTTGAACCTGGTTTCTCTTTAAGGAGAGCTACTTCAGAGGCCTAGTCCTCCTTGCTTGGGACTTTTCCCTTGGGTACATTCAGTGCATCGCTTCCCTTTTTGAGAGTTGGCTGTGTTAGGCACAAGACTGGTCATCCTTTGCTCTCATTCTTCACGACTTTTGTCCTTCATGGACATTCCACCTGATGCACTGGAGTTGTGCCCCGCCCTAGCCTGTGAAGCCAGTGTTTTTCAACCTTTTTTAGTAAAGTACCGCTTAAAAAAAATTTATAAGTACTCCCAGAACCTACAGTTTTCAGCTGCAAAATTTTCTACTATTGCAACACATTTGTTTAAACAACTTAATCATAGCCGAGCAGGCGATTAAATTTTTGGGTGTGAAAAGTACAAAAATAATAAAGCGCTGTAAAACTTAAAACAAAAATTCAGTTTTCTCCACATTTCAGTTGTGTTGATGTAACCCCCCCAGACTTCTCTTGAGTATCCCTAAGGCTACGTCTACACTGCAGGCTTCTTGCGCAAGAACTATTTTGTGCAAGGGTTCTTGGGCAAAAGGTCTTCCACAAGAGCGTGTCCACACTGCCATGTGCTTTTGCGCAAGAGATGTGCTCTTGAATTTTCGCAAGAAAGCTCTGATGGCCATTTTAGCCATAGGGGTTTCTTGTGCAAGAAATTCATGTTGCCTATCTACACTGCCTTCTTGTGGAAGAGCTCTTGCACAAGAGGGCTTATTCCTTGTGGAGAGAGGAATAACTCTTCCGGAAGAAGCCCTATTTTCCAACTCTGTACTGTAAATTTACTTGTGCAAGAACGCGTGTGCAATGTAGACGCTCTGCAAGTTTTGGCACAAGAACAGCCGTTCTTCCGCAAAAAGCCTGCAGTGTAGATGTAGCCTTTAAGGGTACTCATACCACTGGTTGAGAAACACTGTGTTAAACAGTTCAACAACAACAACAAAAATGGGGAAAGGGGGACAAAGGGAGCAGTGAGGGATTGGGACTAGAGAGTTCTCCAGAGCCAAACCTTTAGTAGTCTGTCTGCTGGACCCCTACGCTGGTTGCTATGCGGCTGAGTATTAAGATGTCACCTCTGATCCTGCCACACGCCTCCTAAAGTGAGCCCTGGTCAGAGATGGGAGTGCCACATTGATGACATGAACCTTTGCTGTTGCCTTGGGCCAACTTAAAAAAAAGAAAACCTGCCGACACAACTTGTTCCATCTAGGACTGACACAGTCCTTGTCCCCAGTGTACTCTATAGGCTGCTTTCGGCGCTGATGAGAGAAGGGAGGAGGTGTGGTAAGAATTGTTAGTGAACCAACTTCTGTTGGTGAGAGAGACAAGCTTTTGAGCTACCCTGGGCTCTTCTTCATGTCTGAGAAAGTAAGGCCTTATCGACACAGGGTGGCTCACAGAATTGCCTGGCCTCCTGGGCAAAGAGGGGCAGGGCCTGGCTCCACACTCCCGGAAGGGGCGGGGCCTCAGAGGGAAGGAAGAGGATGGAGCTGTGCCTACCCCCCTTAGCTGTCCGGTAGTGCTGCTCAGGACTCCAGCGGCGATTTAAAGGCCCCGGGGCACTAGTAGCAATTCAAAGGGATCTAGGGCTCCGGCTGCCACCATTGCTGCACTAGCAGGCGCTGGAGGCGCTGGGAGCCCTGGATGCTTTTGAAGCACTTGGCCCTAGTGGCAGGTACCCGTACCCCCTTTATCCTCCCAGCCCCAAATGGTCTGGTCTATGCTACGTCGGCAAAACGTTTGTCACTCAGGAACGTGAATATTCAGCTCTCCTGAGAGACATAAATTATGCCAGCATAAGTGGGGGGGGGGAGGGGCACACACCTCCTCCCCGCCCCTGCCATGCAATAGAAAATTGTCTTATGTATACAAGTATGCATAACTCAAAAATGCTTTGGACAAAATACCTCATGTAACTGATCCATTTTAATGTCCATGCCTGCCGGGTCTTATTTTGGTGCATGTATCACTCCTGTGTGTGAAGTCAGAGATCTGGGGTAGGGAATGGTTTCTGGTTTTAAATGTGCAAATGAAAGCCATCAAGGGTGTTTCCAGAGCTGGGACACCTCAGTGTCTGAGTAATCACTTGTAAACGGCCTCCTTTGTCCTTTAAGTCTAAACAGTGGTTAGTTTTAGGAAGACGTGTGATCACTCCCACTGGTAGGGTCTGACCAGATAATTTTTCCATAGAAGGGGGAATGCCAAAACAGAATTCTTACCCAAAAGAGAGTCTAGTTTTTAGGCTCTTTGGCTAGCATGACGCCCAAGGGAATAACCAGAGACTCTGAGGGAACAAAGATCTTCCCTGACTTAGAGGTTTAGCTGAAATAAGAACAAATTTAGAGTAAGCTTGCAATAAGCTTTAGGATGTTAGAACAAGCTATGCATTTATTGTTATTTTAAATTTGTAATTTACTTTGTTCTGTTTTTACTTGCAATACTTAAACTCTACTGTTTGAACTTAATAACATTATTTTTATTTGTAAATAAGCACACTGGGAAGCAGCCCAAGGGGGTCTTCTGTGACTGCATCCCGTCACAGGGAGTATGCACAAGACTACATCCTAGCTTTTGGGAGGGTGATGTTATAATTAAGCAGCTGGTCAAGCTCTCTCTCTCTATGTTGGCATAGAGCGGCCATATGAGTAATCTTACAGCGGCCCAGCTGCATCAGTGTAGACACAGCCGAACTCATACCAAATCTACAGGGAAAGCTTGGAATTACAATACATATACAAATTCAATTCACATGCCAATGGGCTCAATCGAGATACAGGACGGTGGAGTCTTTATCACTGAAGGTGCTAACAGCTTTCTGAATGGTATCCTTCCTGCCTTAGCAATCTATCGACTGACTTTGATTTTTATCTGCTCAGGTTTAGCATCCTTTGTCCAGATACTTTAAGAAAAAAGGAGGGGAAAATGGGGGGGGAGACAGAGCATCTTTCTTTCCCCCAGTCCCCCCCCATTCTCCTATTTATTTCGAGTTTTCATAACCCCTACTCATAACTCCAGTCATCTGAAGAAGTGGGCTGTGTCCACGAAAGCTCATGATACCATCTATATGTTTTGTTAGTCTATAAAGTGCTACCAGACCATTTGTTGTTTTTTTTCTGTAACAGACTAACTCAGCTACCCCCTGAAGCTGCTAAATACAAGGTTTAGCATACATGGTTATGCTGCTTACAGTACTGCTAAATACAGATTGTTTAGCATAATAGTTAACACAGATTTCAAGGAACTATTCAAGGCCCATTAATACCCCACCAGTCATAGGGAGCAGAGTAAGGGTGGAGGGGAAGAAAGCTGAAGTGTGTGGGTGGAGGGAGGGGTGCTTGTTACAGGGTTATAGACTGTTGTAATAAGCCATAAATCCAGTGTCTCTAGTCAATCCATGATGTTTAGTATCTAGCAGCGATATGAATTTAAGCAGTCAGGCTCAGCTTTGGAAAGCGTTGTGCGGGTTTCCTTTGAGAATGAGGATTGATAGGCCAGACATACAGTGAGCGCTCTGTGGAAAGTGTACACCTATGGGAGATACGGTGTTTTTGTCCTTTACCGTTTTCCTGCGTGAGCTCATTTGAGTGTGTGACAATTGTCTGGTTTCACCCACAAAGTTCTTAGTGGGGCATTGAGCACACTGGATGAAGTACGCCGCACAGTGTGAGAGGCGTGTGTAGGATCCATGGCACTAGCAAGGTTGCTGGGGGGAGCGAGGTATTGATCATTGTAGCAGCAGAGATGTTTGCTGGTTTTGTATCTGTTGTTCTGGCAAGGTCTGGTGCTGCTTTGTGTTGAGGTGTCCTGGTCTGTGGCGAGCTTGCAGCTTGGAAAGTTTGGGGGATTGTGTGAGGGCCAGAAGAGAGGGATTCAGGAAAGATTTCTCTCGGGATGGAGTCCTCATCTTATGTGGGTTGTAGTCAGTCAATATCTCATATCCAGTGTGAGGTGGTAGGTGACAACTACAGGAGTGAGGTCAGAGGGGGGGTTATTTCTGTATTGAAGCACGTTCTCTCAGGGGTACTTAACAGTGTGGGTTGATAAGTGACAACAAGAGTGTCCGGTTGGATCCTATTTATGCCTATCACACCATGTGGTTTACCTCATCCAGTGCAGGCACTGTGTCATCAGATAGATGAATTGTCATGAACATACTAGAATTAGAATTCACGTCGCTTTGCCACTGCGTACAAAGCCACACAAAGCATGTGTCTCCTTGGGGCTCGGTCTCCATAGGATACAGTGTAGCTGCCCAAGGATAAAGTGGCCATCCCCACACAACAGCTGAGAGCCTTCCAGCCCAACACAATCCTGTAGAGTAAGACAAGAGGTACCTGCCTGAGGCACCCACCTCAGTGGCCTCCCCATCCCCCTCCCAGATGGAGAGCGCCTGAAAAGGGAGGACCACGGAAATCTCACACCCCCAGGATCCTTCCCCCGATCAGTCAGTAAGAGCAACAACCAAGCTTCTTCCAGTCCTCACTGGGTCCAAAGGGAGCAGCTGGTACAGTGGAGCAAATGGCCTTCCCTCACCCTCCCCACACTAATCGGGCTACACAAATAATAACCCCAGCTGTCAAAATGTTATGGGATGGTTGAGCACCTGTGAAAATCTGCACCTTCTCCAGATTCCATCCCTCCTCCTTGTTCAAAAGGGTTTCCAAACCGAACCCCCCTGAAAAATACCTTTATTTTCTTTTCTTCCCCCATGTTACTGATTCAGCTAAATCTATCACTTCCTAATAGAAAAAGGCTGCATCGAGGATAAAAATCCCAGATCCTCATCACTCAGCAAACCCATAGTGCTGCGAGTTAGTCTTGTGACCATTTTAATGATCTTACTGTGTTCCCCATTTCATGCTTCAGAATGAAACTTCCCAATGTGCCAAGCTGCATAACTCTCCCATTAGCAACAATATAGCAGACTAAAGTATTGTTGTAAAAGGGGGTGGGGACCAAGGACCCCCACATGCTGAATCCCTGTGTCCTTGGTCCCTACTCTCCAGCCCACTTTAATGGGAGTTGTTCTACAGGATGCTACCTGTTTCTTGCATTATAAACAGGGCAATAGGAGGAATCAATATATATCAGACTCTTTGTTTATTACAAAACCAAAGGGATACTGTAGATTGCAACTGGTTATATGGAACTAAGGTTACCAGTTAACGACCTATTTACTCCTTTGCAGCATTTTTATCCTGCTATGCTGATTTGACGAATGATGAGATGGAGCTCAAACCAACCCCACAGTCAACTTCATTCCTACAAAGAACTACTACTGCCCAGTCAGTTTCCCCATATCAGATAACTTCTTCCAGCCACGCAGTCACCGCACTTTTCTCCAGCAGGACAAGTAAGATTCTAACCACCCCATTACACCAAAGAACATCTGTATTCACTGCCACCCAAACAACAAACCATCATGCGGTAACAACAGCATTGGACCCTAACATGACAACCCAAGCAAGAGTAAAGACCACACAGCTGACCAACCAGACAACCCATGTAATATTAACAACTACAGCAGCAGGTAAGAAAACAACTGCAAAGACTCCACTGCCGACCAATGAAACAACAACAACTACAGCTCGAACAGGTAAAAAGACAACCATCCAGAAAACTGAGAAAACCACACTGCCAACCAACCATACAACCCATTCAAGTGTGGCGAATACAACTGCCTCCATGAAGACAACTTCAAAGCCCACATCACCAACCAATCGAACTACAACCCTTGCAGAAACAACAATACTAACAACCAAGAAGACCACTGTAAAGACCACCACGCAGCCAACTAACCATACAACTCATATAACAGCAAAAACTACAGGCAGAAGAACCAACACAACAACCGTTCATCCAGGGACTCCGACAACCACACCTTCCACGACAGCCACCATGGGGCCCACCCTCGCACCAGATTCATCACCTGCTACTGGAACCTACAATGTTTCCAGTGGAAATGTGACCTGCATTAAAGCATCAATGGGATTGAAGCTGATTGTTCAAAATTCTAAAATGGTGAGATGCAATATTCATTAGCATTAGGGAGCTACATAATCTGAGGCTTACACCAATCTTTCTTCATTAGTTTGACTTTATCCTGCCTCCTTCAAGGCAATTCCCATCAATTGCCATATGCCGCAAAATTAGACATCAGTGTAAGTAGTGTGCCTGCTTCCCAGAATTGTTAGTTACAGTCTTTGATTGGGGCTCTTTGCTATTTTAGGATCATAAGAACTGCCAGGAACAGATCAGTGGTCCAGGCCATATGCTTCAAAAGGAGGTGCGAGAAACCCCAAACTAGTTGATTACAGAATAATCTGCCCATAGAGAAAAAGTTGCCCTAACTTCCATTAGTTAGACATCTGGATTATACTTTAAAGCATTGGAATTTATATCCTTTCCAAAGCAATTGGTTTCTTGCTTTGTTTCCGTAATCCTTGCCATTGTAAATCTCATGTTCCCATTTTGATTCTAAATGTTGATTAAATGTGATGACTGTTAAGTGTGGATGAAAATACACAATACTCACTATGGTTTAAAGCTAAGCATATACCTTACACCACTAAAGGGCCTTGTTTCTAAACTGCAGAACTTTTCTGCGTTGGAGAATCTTCTCACCAGATGCATTGTTTTATGATGGAGAAAGCCTCAGAGATGTTTAGATTGAACTCTATTCTCAGCTTTGAAGAGCCCAAACCAGACTAGAGTCCAGGTCTGCAGAAATTATGTTAGAGACAAACTGCATAAACTGCAGTGCTAAGCATGAGATCAGACTGGATAACGTAGTTTAAGGCCTCTAGCAAGGTAGTCTATTGATCCAGACCCATAGATTCAATTTCAGAAAGCTCATAAGTATCTGAGAATTTCTTTTTTATTGTTGTTTTTGTTTTCTCTCTAATTGACCTATGCTGTATTTTTTTCCTCCCCAGAAGGAGAAGGGTTATTTCAATATTAATCCCAGTACCACACAAACATCTGGAAGCTGTGGAAACCTGCAATCAAATCTGAACATAACTTTTAACGGCGGTTTTATAAGCTTTACCTTTGTAAAGGTAAGTGTTGCCCTCTTGTTTTTTGCAGTAAGGCAGAGGTCAGTGCTGGGATTCAGAATTCTTTGGTTCTATTCCCAGCACACTCACTGACCATGGCAAGTCATTTCATCTCCCTGTTCCTCCCTTTCTGCATCTGTAAGGACTTCACAGGTGCTCAATAACTTAATGTCAGTCAAGTGTTCTGAGATCCCCTGATTGCAGGCACTAGAGAAGGGCAAAGTATTGATATCAGAACAGGGTCTGACTCAAAACCTGCATCTGGCAAAGTAGGTTTTACCCATGAAAGCTTACGCTCTAATAAATGTGTGAGTCTTTAAGGTGCCACAGGATGCCTCATTGTTATTACTCCAAACCTGAATGCAGATTTCACATAGCTCAAAATATGTGGCTTTTATATCTGAATTTTTTACTTGATCCATTATCAGGTGACAAAAGATTCACAAATTCCAATTCAGATTTCCACCACCAAAAAACTTCAGAAGTGTTTGGCTCCAAGTTTAATTCTGGGCCACCTCTAATCAAAACATCTGTATAGAATACAGTAACTATGTTATTCTGAATCTTTGTGCGTGTCGGAAACCTGGCAATAGGCCCTAAATTAAAGAGACAAAAGTTTCTGGTTTATATGGGACACCCAACGCCTAATATTTTGGTGTGTTGAGGGAATAAATTCTATGGCAGCTAACTGGAATTATGCTGTGACTCTAGCAGTGTGACACAGAAAAGTTTATACTATGAATGGAACGGACAAGGCAGTGGGCCTTTAAAATTGAAAAGAGACTGGAATAAAATCAAAAGACCACCACCTTTGTGATATAATCTCACAAACACACAAGACGGACCCAAATCTGAATACACCTGAATTTTGGAAACATTTGGGTTTGGGTCTGAGCTTCCCAGCTGAACCTTTTCTTTTCAATGGGTCAGTTCTATCAGTGGCTGGAAATACTGGAGCGAGCAATGACGGTTTATATCACCTGAGTGCCTGGCCCAAAGTTGTTAATGTTTGGTTCATGTGGAACATGAGATTCTGGTCAATAACCATTTGTCTTAGTTACTGGAGACAGATTTCTAAAACTGTAGAGGAAAGAGGAACAAAAATAAAGCAAAGGAAAATATGCGAAGGAAATGTTGGAAAACAAAGAACCATTTAATATTTTGTGTGTTTGTTTTGGATGTGTGCTCCTTGCACTTAGAGAACAGCATTCCTACACTGGAATGGTCCTTAGATCAAATCCTGTGAGTCAAGTACATTTAAGCAGCAGCTGGAGCAGCAGCAGCAAGCAGACTGATATGAAACTTTAGGTGCTGTGCCTGCACTCATCCCCCAGAACAAAGAAATGAATGACACAGCATTGCACAATCTATCCTTCACCTCAACATAAGCTTCAGGAGAGTGAGCTTTGAAATGTGAGCTGTTAAGAGCTCGGTTTGCTACTGTTTCAGTCTGGTATAGTCAACTTTCAGATTCTGAAGGACTGAGTCTGGTCACAGGCAAAACAGGTTTTACATGTGTGTAGCTCCCTTAGTTCCAGTGGAGTCCCTCCTGATTTGCACCAGTGTAACTGGGAACAGAATCTTGTTCCTTGTGAGCTGTGCACTTTTGTGGCTGCTCAGGAGAGATTCAGAAGCCACCCATCTGATTAACAGAGCGCCCGCAGCTAGGTTTTTGTTTCTACTGATGGTGCATATTCACATGTGCCTCAGTGCACATAAAAATGTATTCTGCACATAGATGGAAAAAATCCACACATGGATAGAAAAGATTAGAGGGAATATTGAATCTGACCCTCAGTCACTTGCCTGCAGTGCTGAAATATGATGGCTGATAAATGAGTAGCGGCTTCTATGAGCCCACATGCAGGACTTGAAAACAGGAAACCCTGTAATGAACCCACTCTATGCTCGGTAAAACAGATGTTTTATTCCTCAGAGTAGAATTATTCATCTGTCTGAACAGGATGCAAGGTTGCTAATGGAGATGGCAACTTTTTTGTGATAGGGACACTTGTCTGTCAGGAACCGCACTGACAATTCATTCTCAGTGGAGCAAAGTGGTTAGAGAGGGACTCTGCTGTGTGATCTTGTGCACATCCTTAGCCTGCTTGTGCCTTGGTTTAGCTATCTGTAAAATAGGCATTCTACTATTTCCCTCACAAAAGTCTTAGGAGGTGTGAATGACATCTGTAAAGAGCTTGAAATCTTCAGTGCTATAGAAAGTCCAGAGTAGAATTATAAAATCTTCTTGCCTCTTTTTCTGACAATGGAACACACATTTTCTATTAGTGTTGTTGAAACCTGTGAGCCCTAAAACTTTCCTGACTTAGGCTATGTCTAGACTGCAGGCTTCTTTCGAAAGAGGCTCTTTCGAAAGCATCTTTCGAAAGAGCCTCTTTCGAAAGATCGCGTCTAGACTGCAGGCGGATCTTTCGATAGAGGAAATCCGCTTTTTCGAAAGAGAGCACCCAGCGAGTCTGGATGCTCTCTTTCGAAGACGGCCTCTTTACATTGTAGAACGCCTTCTTTCGAAAGAGGAACTTTCGAAAGAAGGCGTTCTTCCTCGTGAAACGAGGTTTACCGCCATCGAAAGAAAAGCCGCGTTCTTTCGAAATAATTTCGAAAGAACGCGGCTTGAGTCTGGACGCAGGGGAAGTTTTTTCGGGAAAAGGCTACTTTTCCCGAAAAAAACCCTGAGTCTGGACACGGCCTTAGAGAAAAGGAGAAGTATAAGAGGACGATAGCTGCCAGCTGGCAATTATCCAAGGGTGTCTAGAATGCATCCCTCTGTCGGCAGAGGGATGCAGATTAGGCAGGTCGACATTGCAAATGAGGCAGGGATTTAAATATCCTGCACCTAATTTGCATAAAAATGGCCACCACGTTTTGCCAATTCAGCACTTTGTCGGCAAAAAGTGGCAGTCTAGAGGGAGGTTTACAGGATCTGTCAAAAAAGGCTTTCTTTCTCAACAGATCCCCCTCTAGACTGCCACTTTTTGCCAACAAAGTGCTGAGTCGGCAATACACGGCAGCCATTTTATGCAAATTAGGCACGGATATTTAAATCCCTGCCTCATTTGCAATGTCGACCTGCCTAATCTGCATCCCTCTGCCGACAGAGGGATGCATTCTAGACACCCTTGGATAATTGCCAGCTGGCAGCTATCGTCCTCTTATACTTCTCCTCCTTCCATACAGAGAGCTATAGCCAGGCCCACCGATGGGGATGGGGGGCAAAGAGGACAATTGTCCTGGGGCCCAGCAATTCTAAAGGGCCCAGGGCTCTGGTCACCATCACTAGTGCGGCAACGGCACACCAGGAGCCCCGGGCCCTTTAAATCACCACCAGAGCACTGCAGGCCACCACTCCTGGATTGTTGCCCTCACCCCGCCCCTTCTGCCTGAGGCCCCGCCCCTTCCATTTATTTTTAATGACCCTCATAGGTTGGGTCAAATTTGAATCATAAACTCCAGACTCTCAATTGCTAAAAATCAGCACAGCTCTGCTGACATCAAGAGAACTGAAATGATGCCAAACGATAACGTGGCCCTTTGACGTATTGCTTTTGTAAAGCATCTGGAAGATTAATAAATCATCTCAACACTCCACTCCTCCACAGGGTAATGGAAGTTAGCTTTCTTCCACAAATCACCTGCATTGCTTAGTGAGACAATAACTATTCATTCACGTATCCTTTATCAGTTCATTTTGCTGGGTTTGTTTTCACTGCCCCACATTATTATATTTCACAAACATTAAGGCAGAATGGCTGCTAAAGATATGAATTTGTTATTTTGCAGAAAGTTACCATATATTATATCAGTAAAGTGGAGGCCAGCCTCACGGTACCCTCAGCAGGTAAGTGTTTGTGTATTTTACAGTTACTGTGCTAATTTCATTTCCAAACCATTCTTGGTTCAGTTTTGTCATGATTATTTTTTCTTATCAGTTATTTTCAGTTTTCTACATAGCTGGGCTTTACATATCTAAAGGTGTACTTAGGCTGCCTCAGCTTAAAAGTTGTGATTTTTCTGCTGGGTTACTGTCTTTCAGTCACTCTTTCAAATTAGCCCCCACCTAAACTTTTAGGCTGTGTCTAGACTGGCAAGTTTTTCCGCAAAAGCAGCTGCTTTTGCGGAAAAACTTGCCAGTCTAGACACAGCCTAAAAGTTTAGGTGGGGGCTAATTTGAAAGAGTGACTGAAAGACAGTAACCCAGCAGAAAAATCACAACTTTTAAGCTGAGGCAGCCTAAGTACACCTTTAGATATGTAAAGCCCAGCTATGTAGAAAACTGAAAATAACTGATAAGAAAAAATAATCATGACAAAACTGAACCAAGAATGGTTTGGAAATGAAATTAGCACAGTAACTGTAAAATACACAAACACTTACCTGCTGAGGGTACCGTGAGGCTGGCCTCCACTTTACTGATATAATATATGGTAACTTTCTGCAAAATAACAAATTCATATCTTTAGCAGCCATTCTGCCTTAATGTTTGTGAAATATAATAATGTGAAAAATCAAAGATTTGTGTCTGATGTGACTAAGATGTGACTATAAATAAAAAAGATGCAACTACACTGGCAAGCTGTGTCACCTAAAAGGTTTTTGGCAACAAAACTTGCCAATGTAAACATGCCCTAAATTGCACTTAACTGATCACAAGTTTATTTTCTCCTTGCGTCTCCAACTCATTTCAACATAACATAAGAACATAAGAGCAGCCACACTGGGTCAGACCAAAGGTCCATCTAGCCCAGGATCCTGTCTTCTGACAGTAGCCAATGCTAACCACCTCCAGAGGGAATGAACAGAACAGGTAATCATCAAGCCATCTCACTCCTCTCAACCATTCCCAGTCTCTGACAATTTCCATACCTCTCAACCGCCCTCAAGAAGGGTCCAAACCCGAAAGCCACTGAACGTTGGGAAAGTTTTCTACCTGCAACCAGAGAGAAACTTTGTGACCTGAGTCCATTTCTTTATAGATCAGAAACAAACACAAGCCACAGGAATTCAGATCTGGATACAATTTCCAAACACCCCGAAGTGCGGGAATGGTCATGTTAGGTGTCATGGTTTAGCCCCATATAAACATAAGAACTAAGTGAAAAATTTAGATCCTAATCCAGACTGTTTTTTTAATAATCCTTGATGTCGAGATCCGGAATTTTTTTTCTGATCCATCTTCATAACAGACCTACATTTTCCTCTTTCTCAGCCAGGCCTGGTTCTTACAGCTTTAACATAAAGGAGTGACATCTGAAGTGCTAACTCATGGAAAGCAACAAAGTGATGAATCCTGCACTAACATTATATATTGGCCCTACTGTTCATCTTATATATGTTTTGACCCACATCAGATTTTTTGTGACAGAGTTAACAGCTATATTATTTGCCTTTCCTGCTTGTTGTTCTTTAGTATAAGTGACTGGTGTCTGCAGGAGGAAAGGGTGTGGGGAGGACCACCCAGGATAGGAGAGAGGCATAAGGGGGTACCCCATTTAGGAATTAACATTTTGGAGGGGTTACGGGGGGCAGCGCACCTCCCAAGTGCTACCACAAGTCACCAATGCTCATTAGTCTTCTCACCCACACTAATTACTCTCTGGCCAATAGAAGAAGAATGAAACAAAAGCAGTCTCTCCAATGGAGTGTCCTTGTTGTGCTTAAAAGAAGCACTCGGGATCTTTTTCAGAGGGATAAGGCAACACGCCACATTTATAGAACATATATATATAGATTAATCAATACTTGTCATATGCATATGATAAATATATATCACTCAAGCACTCTCTCTCTCTCTCTCTCACACACACACACACACACACACACACACACACACACACACAAGCACACTCCGTCTTGCTGTTGTTACCAACTAGTTGCTCCCCTTAGCTTCACTGGCCAGGTGAGTTAGATGGCGGAGGGATGGAGCCGGGCTTCTGCCGATCCGGATCGATGCTTTGATGGTGACAAGACGAGACCTGGAGTCCTCTGCAAGACACCTCACTTTTATAGCAGCTTCCCTCTCATGCAAATCTATCCCAGATTCAAAATCTGGGTCTGTGTTGGTTGGTCCTTTGTGCTGCTTCTCTCTGGGTGTTGTTCCGATGATGTTCAGAGAGGGTGTTTTCCAAAGAAGGTGCTTGCTTCTAATCCCCAAGGCCGTCAATATGTCTGCTCTTCTTTCTTGAGCCCACTTGACAAGTTTTATTGTCTGGCTTCCACCCCCTCTTCAACTGTTGTAGCTGTCTGGAGGTGCTTGGCTTCCAAGTCATATATGGGTACGTCTAGACTACATGCCTCTGTCACCAGAGGCATGTAGATTAGGCTACCCGACATAGTAAAAATTTACAGTGCTGCTACCCTACATAGTAAAAATATACATGGCTCATTTACATGGTTTACCTGGGTGGTCGACAAATACCTTTGATGTCGACACCCGCGCGTCCAGACTATCGCGCTGAGCTGACAAACAGCTGATCAGCTGTTTGTCGGCTCAGCGCGGCAGCCATGTAAATTTAAATGAAGCGGCGATTATTTAAATCGCCGCTTCATTTTACTATGTCGGGTAGCCTAATCTACATGCCTCTGGCGACAGAGGCATGTAGTCTAGACGTACCCTTACTCATTCATTCAACAGAGCAATTAATTACAGAGTGGGGGGAAGAAAGTGGGGGGAAGATCTTATTCTACTCCTAGCAAAAAGACATTTTTACCACTAACTATATACCCAGTTTTCTACAAGTTTTCTATATAGGGTTCTAATACAAAGATACAAGGTTATATGGATTTGGGTTCTAATACAAAGTTACATGGTTATATGGAGAGGCACAATGCCAAGTCATACGAAATAATATACTTAATACATAGATTTATCTACATCTTGATAGGTATTTTGGTGTTTATTTAAATGGGAATTACGTGCCAAATGCCATTCAGGATCTGAGTGTGTGGGCCCGATTATTTTCTGACTTCCAAGAATTCCATTGCCTTTAATGGAGCTACATCTGATTAATGATGGCGAAAAGGAAAGAAGGAGCAGGCCCAAAGGACATGGCTAGTTGGGGCTGCCCTCAGTGCCAGTTTTCATAGAGTTTCCTAGGGTCAGGCAAAAAAAGATCCATTCAGCACATGAGAACTACAGATAGGCCAATCATGTGGTAAAGCGTGAGAATCAGTCATGCCTGCCATATCACTCTCTCCTTGAATTAAACTGGGGCCAAACCTTTTCATAAGGTTCTGCAGTGCTGGGAAATGTTTTATCCAGAAGCCAGCACCAGAAACGCCAGAATCGATTGCCCTCTATGACTAGAAGTGGCAGGCCTGGAGATCTGCCAGACAGGCCAGTTCTTGTGAATTTTTCAGCCCCGCCTTACAGACTCAAGAAGTTCATGAAAGGGTTGAAGAAGCATGTGAATTGTGGCATGCTTTTCCAACCCCATTCCAAACTCTGATCTTCCCAAGGTGTGCCCATTAAAGCAGCCATTACAAAAAATCTTTGGGGCTGATACAACAGTCGTGACACAACGACAGTTCCAATACGGGCCCACGGAAGTGGCTACTGCCTGCCCTCCCAAAGCCTTGTGGAACAAAGGCTCTTCAGAGCCAGCTACTACTCAAGCTGGGAAATGTTTTCATTTCAATAGAGCTATTGTCTATTCCCATTTGTGTCTCTTTCTCTCTGTGGCCTCCAGGTACCTGGCACAATGTTACAAGCAAGCAGCTGTTTACAGCCAGGATGGGACATTCCTTTAAGTGTCTCAGCCAACAGATGGTGAACCTGGCAGACAACTTCCAGCTGCTCACCGTTAACACCCAACTCCAAGCCTTTGCCATTGATGGGAACCAGTTTGGGAAAGGTACGTTAGAGCAGTGGTCCCCAACCTTTTGGGGCTGCTGGGCACCCGGGGGCGGGGCCACACATGCGCTGCACGTCCGGGGGCGGGGCAGCCCATGTGCCGCATGCCCGGGGGGCCGCGCATGCGCCACACACCCAGGGTCTGGGGCGCAAGAATGGCTTGGGCTGGCCCTGGTCACTTGGCGGGCACACATAAATGCCCCGTGGGCACCACGTTGGGGGCCACTGCGTTAGAGAGTTAGCTCATCCAGGCTTGGTTTATGGCTCCTGGAGCTAAGGATTTGCAGCTGGACAGCATTGCAATGCTCTTCATGTGGCAAGGAGGCTTTTCTCACTGCGGGTGGGCAAACTGGAAACGGGGTGGGTCTCTTAAATATGTGCCAAATCGAGGTAAAGTAATGGCTTCTCTAAGGCAAACTGCTTCCCGAGTACTTCCATCTGTCAGCTGCTGATGTTCTGGATTCCTCCCACTCATAGTTCAGGCCAGGGCATGAAGCAGAAAACTTCTCCATCACTTTTAGCTCCTTTCCCTTAGGTCTAAAAACATGCGCCTTCCTCTCATCCTTAAAAACTCACACTCTTTGACTCTACCTGTCTCTCCAGGACTGTTCTATCCACCCCCCTCTTCTTGCTTTTTCAGTGCTACTGGAAGTGTATTTACAACCATTGCATTGGCTTCCTGTCCTCTTACCCATTGTATGCAGTCTAGTCCAGTTCAAGGTCTCTGCTGTCAAAACTACCCCTGAGACTAGCGACCTGTGAGAGCATCTGCCCCTTTAGAACCAAGATCTCCCACAACAGCTACGCTTCCCTGCAATAATGAAACTGACCTCCAGTAGGGAACACGTGGCATGCGGGAGATGGAACTTGTAGGGTTCTTGGCCTAGAGGCAGTGGAACTCACTATTACGAAAGGTCCAGTAAGAATGGCCACCAGCCTGCCTCTGTTCAAGTTATCAAGCTTATCTCTTCATGTTGGCTTTCCTCAAACAAATTCCTCTTGCTTACAGACAGGCAAACACAAGCCAGTCAAGTAGCTTAGTTCCACCCACTCAGAAGAAAGAGGTTGATCAATATTGTCTTTTGCCTTTAAGGTGCTCATATTCTATAGTGCTGGCACCATACCAGAACCTAAGTAGTCAAGTGGATTTTTCATTTCTCCTGCCATTTACACACATTAAAAGAAAAAGAGCACAGCTCTTCCTTTGCCCTGGGACTGTCTACTAAGTTTTTTAAAATAATTTCCTTGATCTCCCTTGCCTCTCTAATTCTCTCCTTTGAGTGTTAAAACTAAATTGTTGCTCTTCCTTTGTTAGTTCAGCATTTAAGCACTTCCTCCTCCAGGCAAACTAGTACTTCTCATTATGCATGGAAGGTAAAAGTATCACAGTGTGTTTCTCTGTAATACTGCTTCCTGGCTCTATAGACCATGGAGAGCTTTGGTCATGCTCACAATGTGTTTACCTCCCCTTCTGTCAAGGGCTTATTTTTGGATGTCTTTCCAGATGCATTTAGTCGGTGTGTCTTCCATCATCCTAACAACATGCCTTGTCCAATGAAGTGATTGGAATTTCACTACATTTGCAATACTTGGTTCTCCATAAACCTCCTGCAGTTCCCACTAGTGTCCCCTGTAAACCTAGTGCTTGGGCAGCTGCCCAGGAGAGATTCAGATGTGGCCCATCTGATTAGCAGAGCGCCCTCAGCACCCACAACTGGCAGCATGTGTTTCTCTGGTGATGTACGTCCGCACATGCCTTGGTGCACATAACAAAATTTATTCCACACACGGATGGAAAAAATTAGCTGTCTATGACATAATTTTGTTTTTTGCATTCCCCCCCCCCCACACACATATTTTTAAAAGTTCTTAAATCTAGCAAGTTCAACATAGATTTTAGTTGCCATTTGTTTTAATATACATACATATTCTAACAAATGCTGATGTGGGCTCCTAGGATCATAGTTGGTCTCCAAATTCAGATCTGAACTTCCCAAAAGAATGGGTTTATTCAGACCTGGCATTTCAGTATGGCCCCATCTCTGGTGGTAACAGATAGAGAAGGCCTATTAGCTCACAGAGTCTGTCTCCCTTAAGATATAGCCTGCTAATCAAAATGATGTTATATTGGATCTCAGTCAAAAGGGTAGAAGGCAGTGAACTTTATTTAAAAGAATTTCCCTCAGTGGTCACGGAACCTTTATAAGAAAGTTACATACTGTTTGTTCTGTATGCAGATGATGAACAAAAAATCCCCACTGAAAGCTGGTTCTATAAAGTAAGCCACACAAACGGCCTTCTTATGTCATGTCTCTGAGACAGTGGTTTCACTTCCATTGCACCAGATTTGCTTATTAAAAAAAAAAAAAAAAAAAGAAGGAAGGAAGGAAGGAAGAAAAAAGAAAGAAAACATCAGAAGCAGTGACAGTGAGTTTCAAGATACTTATGATTTTGTATAAGCCACATCAAGGAGTTTGGCCTGTTGTAGTCTGTTTGGAAACCCCTCAAAGTTACTTTTGAATCACACTTCCATATACTGCAAATAGTTCTCAGTGTTCACCACCCACAGTTGGGCCCAAACCTATATCCTGATCCAGTCATCTGTAGACTTTTGGAAAGTTTGAATGCAGATCACAGAAGCTCTGCAGCTTTAATACTGTTCTGAATTCACCAAAGGCTTACTTTAAAAAAAAAAAAAA